CCAACCCCGGGTCATTATAGGGCACACAAAATGTATTACTAAATTTGGAGCATGGTTTAACGGTGTTGGCACCAAGATTAGTGGCGATGGTTCGTCCGAGACTCATACAGCCTTTATACTGTTTTATTAATGAGATATATCTCGAATCAAATCAAACTGAGTGATGTTATGAAACAACTTAACAATATCAATCTTCTGTTCTCCTAAATAATCCAACCCCGGGTCATTATAGGGCACACAAAATGTATTACTAAATTTGGAGCATAGATTAACGGTGTTGGCACCAAGATTAGTGGCGATCGTTCGTCCGAGACTCATACAGCCTTTATACTGTTTTATTAATGAGATATATCTCGAATCAAATCAAACTGAATGATGTTATGAAACAACAATATCAATCTTCCATTCTCCTAAAGAATCCAACCCTGCATGGGTCTGTAGCATATAGGGCACAAAAAAGGTAGTACTAAATTTGGAGCATAGTTTAACGGTGTTGGCACCAAGATTAGTGGCGATCGTTCTTGGAGACTCATAGAGCCTTTATACTGTTTTATTAATGAGATATATCTCGAATCAAATCAAACTGAGTGATGTTATGAAACAACTCAACAATATCAATCTTCTGTTCTCCTAAATAATCCAACCCCGGGTCATTATAGTGCACACAAAATGTATTACTAAATTTGGTGTTGGCACCAAGATTAGTGGCGATATGGTTCGTTCGAGACTCATACAGCCTTTATACTGTTTTATTAATGAGATATATCTCGAATCAAATCACACTGAGTGATGTTATTTAACAACTAAACAGTAGGCCTACTAAATGTCCATTATCCTAAATAAACTATCATTACAAAACTAGCTAGATTAGGGAGTGTATAGCCGCTCCGAGGAACGTTTGCTATTTTCAATTCCCTGCTTGTACTTGGCTTCACGGAGTAATTCGTCCTTTATAATGATTCTCTTCATTCCGGAGCAATGTACATGACCTAATGCTTACGAACGTACTCATGTACTGAATACATGTGTATATGACAGAGTACGCACGCCGCACGTCTGTGACGTAGGGAATAATGAATATTCATATCGCCGTTAATCTTGGTGCCAATATATGCTACCGCAGTGATATTGCATTGGGATGCAGCAGACGCAATTTTTATGGTAACCTAAAAGATGCCCAACCTAATTGAAAAAACAGCAGGTCATTTTAATTTGACTCGATATGATTTAGTTTGGTTTGGTTTGGTGTATCTGATTATTTTTTATTTGATTTTATAAGCCCCTAATAATATTGCAGAACTATTAAAAATCAAGTTCCATGCATTAACATACTCTCAACTTCCGCAGCTCCCAAGATACTCTATTATTGGAAACGTCGCATAAAATAAAAAATTGGAGATTTATATTTGCTTGATGTCTATGCCTCAAATTGTGGAATAACTTACCACTGGAGACTTAGGAAATGACCTTCGTTATTTTAAGTCCCTTTCAAGTTCATTTGGGAATTGGGAGCATATGGGGTTGGCTTTGAATTGCTCACTTTCCACACTTTGAGGCCACAACAATAACTACTGATTGTTTATGTCTGTGATGTTAATTGTCACCGCAAATGAATACTAAAGGAGACTATATATCTTTAAAAAGTACATCTAACTTGAGGGGGAAAAATGCACACCAATTGCAAATATTGTATATAATTATGTGCGGTTAACAAGCTTTAAATAGCAGACGGTACCGGAATATGTATGCATTACTATGCATGCCCATACTCTATTTTGACTCTATTTTTTTTAAATCCATTTATAGCATCTTGGTGTATCAAATTGACATAGGTAGAATTAAATACAGCTATAGTACAAGACCTGCAGTCTTACAATTCATATATTTTCAAGTTTGTTGACTAACAATTAAGGATGTATATCCCCGAGATCTAGCATTTTGCAGATTGTTAATGGGGACAATGTTTCAAAGAGAGACTAATCTTCTTTTTTTTTTCGTCCGTCGTAACGCAGGTAGTACATGTTCATATAATGTTCGTGAATGCTAGATTGCTAGAAAATCGATATTGTTATTAGATATTTATTGTAATGAAGTAATAACAATTGTACTTGAAATAATAGCCCAACAAACATGGTTAGATAACCTATAAGCGAGAAATGAGAAACAAATATTTTAATGACTATAGTATAATGATTTTATTTTGTGACATATATTTTTGATTTGCATTTGATTTTATATCTGCGTTTTTCCAAATATAAAAACAATAATAACTTCATGCCGTGTCAAAATGTTTTTTTTTTTTTTTTTACATAATTGTGCACAGAGATGAATCATTAAGGATCAAATAATATGATATTAAGACAAAATAAATGTTAATTATGACTTTGCATACAGTTTTAGAAACTCGGAGAACCAATCCCGACTAGCACTCGTGCTAACTTTTGGTTCTCCCTTTAACAACACTTTTCATTTTTAAGTTTAAAAATATCCTTTATTTGAATCACTTATACGTTATTGAAATCTGTGAATTTCAATTCCAGCCACAAATCTCTACGTATACTATTAAGTTATAGCTAATTCACAGGTTTGATATGACATGATATATGATTAACTTAATTTGTACATTATGGTTCAACTATGGATATTTTTTTTTCTTTGTAACCCATGTACATGGATATGTATACGACATGTTATTTTTGTTCCCACTTGAATACATTTTGTAACATTGTGTTATGTTGTTGTTAATAAATTCAAATTCCAATTCAAATTCAAATTCAAATTCAAACATATAATAGCGAAACTTAATATTTCTATAACATTATTATATATTTAAAGTATTATCCAAACTATCTGTTGGAAAAAATGCAGGAGACTGCAATCATAAGCGATGCTTTAAAACAATTAGAGAAGTCTTTCTCAATAATGATAAATATTATTATTGTTATCATTTTTATCATTATTCACTATTTTAGAAAATATTTTATCACAATATATCATCTCAACATCTAGGATAAAATTTAAAGTGGCAGGCGAAAGTTCCCTAAAACACTAACCAAAGAGGTAAGGCCTACTGAGGGCGAGATGTCGCCCTTCCAACCCAAAGTTTAATCAGATTCTATGTTGTATAATACCGACTCTGAATGAACAGTGCCTGGTTAGGCCATTATTGTTTTTAGATTGACAAATCAAAACCTTCCTACCTTGGAAAGCGGACACCCACTCCTACACCCGCGGCCTAAATCGGGCCTAACTTTCACTTTCTTGCAAACAGGGGCGACAATGGCGGGGAGGAGGTGACACGTCCCCACATAATGTTGAATAAAACAAAAAAATATAGGAATGCATGATCAGATGAGGTTATGTGTTTCTATCTCTCTCTCACTGGAGTACTATTGATTTCAAAGTTTCCATATTCTGGGGGTAAGAGAACATTTTTTTTTGTCCCGAAAATTTGCAAATTTGGCCGAACGATATTCGTTCAGTTAGGAAGGGAGGGGGGGGGGGGGGGGGGGGGGGTAAGGTCACCTATATGGAGTCACCTTTTTTTTTTAAATAAAAAAACAATTGAGGAGGGGGAGGGGGGGGGGTTTCCTCCAAAACAATTGAGGGGCCCCCACCCCCCCCCCCCCCTGCGTACGCGCCTGCCTACATTGCATCATGATAACAGATAGGCGTATATTTTGAGTTTGAAAACACTGAATGAGATCTGTAAGCTAAGTTGACATAGGGATAGGTTTCATTTAGGATTGACATGAGCTAGAGAATACATATATACATCGGGTTGTATATCTTTTTCATTTCATTTCATTTATTTCTGCAATAACAGTAAACAAAATTACAAAGCATTTTGTTTAACAAAGTCATTCTAATCAAAATATTAACAAACTTGAAATATCCACACTATGGTACATGCAACGCAGTATAAGCATACAATTGACACCCAGAAGATAATTGATTGCTGTATCGTGGAGGAGACCTAGGAAAGTATAGCTTGTAATTTAGGTTCCCTAACATAAAATATCATAGTATCATAAAGTAGAAAATGCAAGGAAAAGATGGGGAAAGGGGACGATACGAAACAAGATTATACATGAAAAGACAAGCACAAGAAAAGGACGCTAAAGTTTGCATCAATCTGCAGCTATCATGCACTAAAAGTTTTTTCTTCTTCAATTTTTGGACCCTCCGACAGGCCATTTATTGAAAATAAATCTCTGAATAACATATTTGAATACTTGTACAAATGAATATCATATAAAACTTCAAAATAAGATATACATAATGAATATAATAAGCGCTTGAAACATCGTAACATATTAATAATAATATGATAATGATAATACTATACATACAGAACATGATAATAAAAACATTATTTAAGAAAACAAACAACAACAACAAAGTTACCGCAAGAGGCGACTCGACTCGTCCAGATTCAGTAAGTGCATAATCCAAACCCAGACGCAGATTATATAAATCATTTATTTATAACAAAAAATAGAATAAAACAAATGATCTATGCGGTGGTAGTTTAATCTGTTATTATTGCAAATGATTCTCATTGCCCTTTTATGTAGAAACTATAATTTATCCAGTTAATTTTGGAAGGAGTTGCCCCATGCTTATATCTCATAATTAAAATATGGAAGGATAAGGGTATTATACAAATTTCGCAATATACTGCAGGAAAGGGTAATTTTTAGATTATCAACTACTCTTTAGATAATAATTTACATGTATATATATATATATATATATAATGTTTTTCTTCAATGAAAGTTTGCTGTCTATGGAAAGACCAAGACATTCCGTTGATACAACTAAATCTATTGAAATATTATTCAGAAAGACATTACCAGATAAAACTGAAACGGTATATATTACTAAAATGCATACAATGGGTTTTCTGAACATTCATTGAAAGCTGCGGAAAAAATCCATTCATTAACACATCTGAGCTCATTGTTGACTTTATTTGATTGAGTATCGTTTTTTTTTTAAATATTCGTGTCATCTGGAAATAATATAAAGGATAAAACAGATGAATTTTGAAAATCATTAATATACAAAATAAACAAAAGAGGCCAGAGAAGTGAGTCCTGGGGCACTTCACATTCACGGAGACAAATATTATAAACATAAATTCAAGGGTCGCCAATTCAAATGGGTGCATGGGGTGACGTTAATTCTTGAAAATATATTCAAATGGATCAAAATTCTATGCATGGGCGTCGATAGTGTGCAAAGTTCTGCAAACCCCTCCTTGTGAGGGGTATTCCCTTATAAATACCCCTCTCGATCAATTCCTCGCATCCCACGATCAGGACAAATGGTTCATCCATTGCTCGCAACAGAAGCCCCTTAATATAATCCATGAACCCCGCCTATATTAATTTTTTAACCGCCCATGGCATTATAATGTACTACAATCAACAAAATTGTATTTTGGTTTTTAATTGGTGCCTGCATATTACATGTGTATTAAATATTCATAGTGCTCCGATTACCAATACCATAATGCTTGTTCTAACTCTTCTCATCTACCTGTTTACTGAGAAATTCATCATCCCTTTACATAGGCACTATTGTCTCATTTTCTTGATCCACCGAATGCTGATGAAATGGCACCAATTATTCTTCTCCCTAAGCCATCAGGGCTCGATTCCAAGAAGGATGCATATCTATCGGAACATTCACCAAGCCAATGAACCATTCGGTTTTTTGTGCCGTCATCAAAAATTAACCGCCCGCCTGATTCACGACTGTATTGAAAGTTGCGGAGTCTGTGAGACTGAGCTAGCTGATAGACTCTACCTGAATTTAATGATATAGAAAAGAAAAAAATTAGAAAAGGTAAACATAGCATGTTTGAATAACTCACGTTTAAATAAATAAATAAATAAAATTAAATGGATTTATAAAAAGAATAAATCAATCATTAACTGAATTGATATAACAAGTTTGACTTCGACCTTTTGGACCCAATATATAATCAATTCATGTTGTCATTCTGTGTTAAATATTTCTAAATTTTGTTTATCATTTCATCCGAGCAACAGAAAAAATAAAGATTTACTAGATTTAGAACGGCCCTGTGGTCATTAAATCTTATCAGCCACAGTCTACTAATTATGTTATGAGCCACGGTATTATAAAACAAGTTAAACAGATATAGATAGACAATATTTCTCTGTCAGTCTTGTACGATCTTTTTGTTACCATTGGCATTTCGTGGCTCGTCATAAACCTCAATATAATTAATTTACATACTTCAGTGCAGTTTGATAAGAATATGCTCAATGAGTATTTTCAAGTAATTGCAATATGAAACAAATGCTACGATTAAAGGGGAGTGTGAAATTTACCCACTGATCCTTAAATCTGATCAGTTCTTTCTTTTATACGACCCATATCAAAAGCAGTATTAATATCCATGTGTCTATCTTGGGCAAATAAGACCAAAATGATTGATTTTCATGATTATACTTCAGTCAAGTATGTTATGATCGCTTCAGTGTATATTTTCAGGTTATCTAATATCTACACTTAAATGAGTCTGAAACCATTAAACCCTCAACTAAATACTTCAGCGATTACTACTTATACACTGACTATGACTCTGATACATTTATTGTTAGTGAAAATCTTAAATTGTTCCGGTTGTTTTTTCAGAGTTGTGTAAAGATGCATAAGGGAATTAATGATAAACTTTAGTTCTGGTAAATATAGAAGAACAGAATTCTCACATAAGCCAACGGAACTTGCCCTGAATGTTCAAGATTACAAATAAATGATATTTGCCAAGGAATGTTGGTAGAAAATGTACAGCAGTGATAGTGGCTGAGTAATGAGCATAGAAAGATAAGGAACTCCGGGTAAGCAGGCCCAACTATGTGCAAATGGGAGTTTTGTTTTTGGTTTTTATCGAAGATGATGCCCAGTAATTTGTTGTGCGTTTGTTTTTATCATTTTCACTGGTTCAAACAACCAGTCTACTGGACGATAAACAATCCAAAATAAATCGTAGGAATTTTCTCTAAAAATACGATTCCCACACCAGGGCTCAAGTTTAGCTTAAATATCGAATCAATTAATATTGTGTCAATACTTACAACGAAGCCTAGAGCTATAGCTCGAGAATTATCTCATGTTTATATTGATTAAAGTCCTAAATGACATGAGCCTTTTGTATGAACATTGAAGGTGATTATTATAATAATGACTCATCCAACTTACTCTCGAAGGCTGACAGGGGGGCTGCAGGAATGGGCATCAAAAGCGCTACATTCATTTTCTCATCTGAAAGATAGAGATGATTATACAAGATATAAAACATTAGATACAAGGTAATTTTGTAAGAGGGCCAGGTTTGTTAGCCTTTCAATGACATAGATAGCAACGTATTTCCGTTCGTGGGGCTAACAAAATGTTCTGTGTATGATTCATAATGTAGAGCAATGTAATTGTACTTGATATCCCCCCAATATTCACCCTTTTTCAGGTAAAAGGGAGTACTGAAATATTGATTCACAAAGAAGACAAAAGACTTGATAAATGGCTGATCGTCAACGAAACGGAGCTAAGTCTTTTGTCATCTCTGTTTGTTGCTACGGCAGGCAGCCAGTGAAAATAATTCGTTTGATTAAATTATGGAAATGCAAGCATTACTTTAAACAAACAGAACTTTGTTATTCCTGGCTCGTTTTTTCCTGATTGAGGTGCGTGAAATATGCATTATTATGAGTTGCATCAAATGAAAGAGGAGGATCTAAGCTTTACAAATATGTGTCATTTATTAATTATTATTCAAATTTGTTAAGGGACATTCCGATCAATATAACATTTAACAGTATACTCGCTAGTATTTGTATTATGAAAGCTGTGGTTCGTTGTGAATTTTCTCGTATTTTAGAACATTTGAATATAACATACACATGTTTTTCAGACAAGCCGACACAGCTCCTTCCACCTTCTGATTTCCATCAGGAGTTGTTGGTTTCCCTACGTCGATCAGAATGGCTGTAAACAAATGCCAGTTCTTTTTAAGGAGTTTCCAGTCGTCCACCGACGCTATCGTCTTTCCAGGGAAACATTGTTCAACATCCTTGCGAGAATCATCATGGTTACCGGAAAGAACCACCAAGGCCATAGGGTAGTCGCCGTAAACAGTTTCTTGTTGACTGGTATTATTGTCGGGTCCATTCTGTACTACAGTAGAAGTCGAGGGGGCACGTGTTTGGGTATTTGTCGAGGTCCCTGATGCACAAGAAGTGCTCATTGCTTGGGAATGTCCTTTACAGCACGTCGTAAGGTAGGACTGTTCCAGGGGGGTTGCTTGAGTTTGACACTGGGTTGATCCTAAGGTATGACCGGAATTTGAATTGTCTTGACTTGAACATGAGATATTGTCAACAAAAGGCAAGTACGCACATGATGACAACAGGTCTGAAGTTGATGATTTATCATCTGCTTCGTCGGCTCTCCTGTGCTTGATAGGAAATTCGTAATTAGTGGCATGAGAAAGATCCCTACTGGTACCATCCTCCTGAGAAGACGTTGAGCAATTTGTAGAGTCTCCTGGCCCTGTCGGTAATCGCTGAGTGTCAGCGGAGGTCAAGGAAGAGGAACTAGTCGTCATCGTTTGCTCCTTATCAACAATCAGCAAAGTAAGATTACTATTATTTGGAGGGCTACTGTCATTTCCCACGATGCTTGAATCATTCGATCCTGTCGAAGTGGAATTAGGTTGTGGAATTTGTTCCTGTAAAAGCGATCCTTGAATTTCAGTCTTGTTGTCGACTCTTGTTGCTCCACCCGCTGTTGTTGACGAATGTGCTTCCAGAAAAGGTATCGGTTTTGCATGACGTGGTGCTTCTTCAAGGAAATGAATAAGTTTAGAAAGGTCTTGAACTTCCATTTCAGCTGGATTGTTGCATTGGATGACGCATTCAGAACACTCGAAGGTGGTTTTCTGAGACTTCCTAAAGACCATCATAAGGGCGGTCCTGGAGGCTTGACTTAAGCTAGTCATGGAGTGAACAACGACAGCAACACGATCGGGACCTGTCGAAAGAAAATGTTGAGAATTGTATAAGGAAAATAAATTATGTTCTTTTATAGGTCGGTTCACATGAAGGTATATGTCAAATGAAGGGATTAATTTTGAGGACAACCTTTTGATGGCTACAATTATACTTATAATGAGACAACACAAAGTAGCAGTGGACAAATATACTATCAGTACAATCTAAATCAATCTTAAACATCCTCAAATAACATCCTCGTCATATAATCCATGAATATACTCTAAATATGTTCTAATATACAGCTTAAAAAGAATCAATAACTTTGCTCACTAGCAGCTTGTTTTGAAATTGAAAATATATGCTGCATTGGCAGATGACATTAGAATATTGTACCTATGTTAGAAATTATTATTTACCAGATAATATTTCAATGTGCTGCATATAAACAAACGCAGAGAAAAGATTATTTGTAAAATTCACCCGTTGTCATGGTGTTTCCACAATCATGATGGGGACACAACAATACTGGAGCCAAGTTCTGCTAGAGGAATATTGGAGCATGTTCCCTCAGGAAAAAATGTGAATTATGTATAACAATTTCACGTGATCTAAGGCATTCTGTAGATCGACCTACAGGCTACAACTATACTTTTCTAGGCCTACAAGCGCGATCTTAGTCCTCACCCACTCCCCCACCCGTTTCGCTTGACACGCTATAATGTGTACGGTTAGTGTGGGTCTGCATAGTTTTATTTTGTAAACTCGTATGGAGAAAATAATGTTGGTGAAAAATGCTTTTGAAATACATGAGAAACACATACCATATTTTTGCTTGAGTTGGGGTAAGAGCTTTTGGTACTTGGCGTCATCTACGTCAGTGATGGAGTTACGACCTTGTGCAATTGAATGCAACAGAACGACGGCATCATATTCTCCTCGCGGTGTGAACGACTGTAAATCTTGGTGCGTGAGCTTCAGAGAAATGCAATTAAATCGAGGATTCGTCTCCGCAATTCCTTCGATAAACTGATCTGTGCACGATTCAGTCGACAAGCTGAGAAATGCCACAGCGATTTGCCCTGCTACCGCCATTCTGGAATACTCTTTCGATTACTCTTACCAAAAACACTTGGTATACTGTTCAGGAACGGGTGAGAAAAAACGTCGTGTTTTGGATCGCGGAAGAAAACTGATTTTGTGGATTGATGTCCTGTACTGTGTCAAGGTAAAGTTTGACGGACGGGATGTCGACGTATCACATGATTGTTTGTTTGCCAGTGGAAGCCCAGCCTTTGGGCGGTACTTATGTCCTCTTGAAGCATGCGCAGTAATTCGACTTCGGATAAAACTAGATGTGCCACGCCTCTCATAGGCATAGCCATTACGTTATAGCTATCCGTAGACAAGATTTTGTCAGTATATCGCTCATCTTGATGTTTGGCTCTTTTTTACCTGATTATTGTAAGCAATTTGTTCGTTAAAAAGTCCTGTGCGATTATGAAATCTATCTTTATGGTCAATGGTATACTGAGCTGGAAGCTTTCTTTGGACTGTGTCTCAACGTATTAAAGCATTTTAATGAAAATCTGCTGGCACCTTTCTCGTCAATATTGAGCAACATTCAGACCTAAGTTAGTATATTCTTGTATTATGTCCAAAGACTTAAAACCGAAAAATCACATGGAAGCGGGGTTATCCCAAAACGACATGCAAGCGGAAATAATTGAGCTTCGTGATATCGTTAAAAAATACAAACCCGGTATTAATGTAACCGTTCCTGACAAAATAAAATTTCCTGAAAACTTATTCATTGGGCTGTTCGGAAGAACTGGATGCGGGAAAAGCTCTCTGATAAATTCTCTTAAGTTTGCTGCATTTGGAAGTCTGAGAAAGGCAAAATGGGTTGCAGTCGCAACCCAAGAGAAGGCAGGTGGTCATACCATGCTCAGAAAGATTGCTAATTTGACCCAATGCATCTACGTCATTGATAACCGAGGACTAGACAACCCGAATGCTGAACAAGCCCAGGCTGAAATAGCAGCACAACTTGGTAAGTTTGTTTAATTTGTTGCACGATTAATACACGATTTGATTATTTTTAGATAAATTGTCATTATGAAGTCATTGTGGGTGCACTTGTCTTAATAGCCATACTTTATGAGGTTATATGAGGTTGATTAAGTGCGATGGAGCAGAGCGACCAAACTTATAAAGGGCTAACAGGACTTCCTAATTGTCTTTTTGTGGCTACCTCACATATCTGTACACCTTTTTCTCCATTCCTTCCTTTTTCTTGATTGGAGAGCACTCGGTGGAATTCACGACCTCTCTTCTCGGGTACTTCATTGATCACCCATTTCCACATTAAACACAACGTCACTGTCATTGTGAAAATAGATTTGATGTAAAAGTTGACCAGATGACTCAAAGGTAAATTTCTTTAAGCTATAGGATCTACCATAAAAAAATGTCACGTGAGACAGTTCTGTCTCTCTGTGTCTGAGTCCAGACGTTTGACCGTTAAATTGCTAGAACATTTTGTGTGTCTGTCTGTATATCGGTGTTGGGGGAGGGGGTCCTGACAGAAATTATCGACAAACATTAGCGTCATCACGGCCCTTCACAAGACTTGCATTATTTGCATGAATATGAAAATAAATGTTTTTATCTACTTTGTTTGTACTTTATATTTAGACGGCCATCGCGGTTATAGTCAACAGGTACAATGGGAACACAAAGGGGGGCAACAAAGATCCAATACACCAGCAGTAAATCTCAACATAGGACACCCGATTACATGTGCTGTCTTCGTTTTCAGGTATCTATGAACGCTTGGACAATGGTTGCTTTAATTGCTGAAATAGTATCCACATAAAAGGTTTTATTTAAAAAACGATGTAACTCTCAAACGCCTTTGAAAAGACTTTTTTTTTAAATCATTTTTTTCAATGTAGATGTTGTAAGATCATTGAGAAATTTTATTGAAAGTACCATGATAAGGAAAATGAAATTTCCATAATTTAAAAAATATGTATTTTTAATCAAATCAAATATTGCTATCCATTATCGCAGTACGAATGGAATTGTTATCATACGTATATGAAATGCACATTGATTTACATTCACTACTTTCAAAAAACAAAGGCATTGTTCTCAAAACGACCAGGAATATTTTCGAATATATAAGCTAACAAAGAATAATTTATAAAGAACTTTTGGGGGGGACTGCTGGTCTTAAGGTCATTACTTAAATGTACTTCGAGTAAATGATCTTTCTGTATTTTCATTATTTAGACAGGAAGACTTTTTCGGAAGAAATCCGACTAAAAATTACCGATTTCATTGCATCACATTCTTCATATATAACTCAGTTTATGTTTGTTTGTTTGTTTGCTTTATTGTAGCGCAATTCACGACATACAGCCCGACTTTGCCGGTCTTAATCTCGTGGTCGATTTTCTACATCGACACCAAGGTATCTTCCAGGTTTATTTTCATTTAGCCCTTTAGTTTGTCCTTATAAGCAGGAAGATTGCGAGGAAAACGCACAAAGTATGAATTTTCTTTTTCTTTTTCTGCTTTACAAAATGTGTTAGATTAATGATAGGGTAATTTCCTGTCTACTCACGGTATCAGTAACTTTCGAGAATTCAACCGAACGTCACATTTTGAAATGTTTGAACATGACAACGACGTGTTGCGTAAGGTGAACATGGTTTCTATGGGATGTACAATAAGGGGTTCATAGTGTCCGACATGCTATGATTTCTTTTGTTTAAAGCTAATTTGAATTAAATAACGTTTTTCTAAAGACGTTAAAGTAGATCACTGCAAAATCCAAGCATTTATTTTTTCGAATAATGGTTGTAAAAATCCAAGTTTCCTATGCTTTTCTCATATATCATCGTAGGATGTTACCCCATTGCTGTCGTCACTCACGTTGATGTAGCCGAGCGAAAGAATATCGACGTTCTCGCCGCCGTGCTCCGGGTATCAGGATTTGGGGACATCTACGAGGTCGCTAACATCACCAACGAGAAGACCAAACTAGATGAGCAGTACCAACTGAATCTTCTGAACCTGATTGAGAGATGCTTAACCATTGGAGATGATACAACTGTCTTCAAGCACTACCAACGTGTGGAGGTGGAGCAGAAGGCGGCCAAACCGACGATGAGTTTGACAGACAAACCAGTGCCAACAGCAAAGGTATCACGTCAAGAGGTTCAAAGCGTCAACAAGACGGAAGAGAATCAGGAGTTTAAAAAGGCGGAGGACGAGCGGAGAGAGATTGAAAACATGAAGAACGACCTTGAGAAGAGGAGGATGGAGCTAGAGTACCAGGAGCGGGATCATAAGATGAGGATGGAGTGGGGGAAGCAGCAGCATGAGCTTCAGATGGAACGACAGAAGCTGGAGTCCCGCGAGATGAAACTCCAGGAAGAAGAGCGGGAACGTCGGTTCCAAGAACAGTTGCGGAAAATAGAAGCAGACAAACGTGAAGAGCTCATGCGCATCATGGAGGCCAACAGATCTAAGGGTCATGGATTCCGACCAGTTATCAATATTCCTGGCTGCCCAATACAGTGATCAAATATTTAAGAATTATTAGAACTATTGTACATACTGCGGCATATTTGTGCATAAACATGTAAATATATTGTTCTTAATTTCACGAAATAAAATAAAATAAATAGTTTGTTTACTTTGGCTCAATGTTTACATTTGTATAGTCCCACCTTTCTCTCCTACCCCCTTTTACTTAAAGTTACACATAAAACTGTGATTAAGAACTAGCTCTTATGAAGAATTTGTTTTCTCTGGTATGCACATTCTACATTTTATCTCCTCATGGACTGGACTGACAAGAGAGATGCTTCAAAAGTGTGAGGCAGAGTGATCATCAGTTGCTACATCAAATCAATATACAAATAATACACATGAGTGAGGGCGTCGGTAGGGATCATCAACACGAGGTAACTTTAAAACAGTCTGGTAATGTTTCGAAGTTACCGAGGGTGGATAATTACATTAGGTATTATTTGTTGTATAAATGTTGTCTTAGATCCTTGTCATTTAGTTGATTAAATTATCCTCATCTCTAACAGTGCATACTGCTTTTGCTTTCATAAATCTACTAACAAAGTAGAGCTAATTTAGAGATGACTTCGAACATTCCAGTATTATCTGATAGCAAACAATGAAACACCCAGTGCAAACAGTTCGAGGGCAGGGGTTATGTTTGCCAAAGAATGAATAAATTTGAAATGAAGGAGTACATGGTTGAAAAAAAATGCATTTATTTATATACATATATATACATTTTATACTTAATATAATAAACCCAACACGAACACGGAGAAGGAAATACTGGGAGAAGCTCACTGGTAACACTCGGAAAGTATCATGATATGAACAATTATAGTCAAGGGTAATCATAATTTGTGTAAGCCATATGTGCGGTTGCCAGATGTATTTGGATATTCAGATAATAAGAAGGACACGGTTAACTTATTCAATCGCTAATCTCACTTTATTTCCACCAGAAATGGAAATTTGGAAAGCATGGAGAAAAAAAGATATAAATGGTAATGAAATAAATGAATACATGCGCAGTTGATTTTTACTCCGATAAGAGAGGGAGTGGGTGGAGGGGGCGTTTGTGTTTATGTACATGGATGGGTAAGTGTGTACGCGTAAGTGTATGAGAGGGGTAGAGGGGAGCGAGAGAGAGAGGGAGAGAGAGAGAGAGAGTGAGAGAGAGAGAGAGAGAATGAGAGAGATAGCGAGAAATAGACAGACGGGAAACACACAAATGCAGGCCAAAAAGGGGGAAGAAATATAGCCAGAGTGGGACATGGAGAACGAGGTGGACGTATATAGAGAGAGTGAGAACAGAGAGAGAGAGAGAGAGGGGGGGGGGGAGGGAGAGACAGTTACATGAGAGGGGCAGAAAAGATGCGAGAGTGAATATAATTGACCGACAGATAATTATTATCCCGGCAATTTTGTGTTCGCACAAGAGGCCCTGGTTCGATTCACGGCAGAGGGATTTTCCTAGTGAAGAGTAAGAAAAAGACAGTGATGGTATACATTCTCATTGTTTGCTCTTTATTAGGCCCAGGCGCGTACGCAGGATTTTTTCAAAGGGGGGGGGGGTTAACTTTTTTAAATCGGGCCGAAAATTTCGCAACGACTCAGCCAGCCGCTGAATAAGCGGGGGGGGGGAGGGGGGGGGGTTTCCTCCAAAATACACACATAAAAAATACCAAAGGGGGGGGGGGGTTAACCCCCTAACCCCCCCCCCCCCCCTGCGTATGCGCCTGATTAGGCCTATGTAAGATTCATCAGCCTATTTTTTAATTTCGCCCTCCCTCCCTATATCCTGAGTAAACAGTGCCAAGCATAAGAAATAGTATTCACGATGGTTCAACTTTTGGAAGAAAACAAATCTGAACTATTGGTTACTTATTAAGATCCGCGACCTGATTTCTTCTTGGTTTCGCTGATTTTGCGTTCCACTTAGGGCATATTAAGTGAAACCCTTTATCAATGTTCAAAATACAAACTTACTCAAGCCCTAGTCACACTAGGCGTACGGTCGGTGCATAAAATCTGACACCACCCTGCCCCTTCCCCAACCCTTACAACATAAATGCTGTGACCATCGACAACCAGTTTCCAAGAATTGATAATGGCTGATCAGTAATGTTGTAGGGAAATTGCCGATATGTTTCCGAATGTCGTACGGAATTATTGCCCGACCATCACTGATTTTCGTAAACCAACTTGTCTGACCGCTCGTGAAAATATTGGCGGTAACAAACAACTGGTCCCAGATCAATAACCGATGTTATAGTTTTTATTTATCTCTTTTCATGAAATGATCGGAAAAAATATTTCTTTTCTATAGATAAATACCTTCTCATAACTTAATAGATCAATCTCTATGATTCTTTAGATTTATAAAGAAGATGTGAATTTATCTGTCAAGAATAAATCCTATTGTCAAAACCATTTCATAAAAGGAGGTAAAGAAAACATTTCCAAGTTAATGGGCATTTGTGTATATTCCCAACCACATATTCATGTAACTAGATAATGTTTGTGTATTGACTATACGTTTGGGCATACATGGATATAAAGAGTTAAACAAGTCGATCTTTATACACGTATATATTATTAGAACTAAAAAGGGGTTATAATAAATCATAGACTTAACACCGATCAATTTTTATTTTGCTCTGATGCAACTTCAAAATGCCAAATAAGGACATATTGTGTTCAAGGGGGCTGAGCTATGCAAATCTAACTCCACCCTAGTTATATCAAACGCTAAATATGGTAAAGCATTATGTCACCTGAGAAAATAACGCCCTCATGACAATAGCGTGATATAAACCCATAATTCTAAAACCATTATCGCAATGAATTTTTAACAGCGAGAAGTGATGCATTATAATCAAAAGCAGTAAACAAATGATTTCAATTCGATCATCAGTATATGCGAAATGGCGGCATCTAGCAGTGAGCTGAGAGAAGAAATTCTTGAAATACGGGAAGACGTGTTGGAATATAAACCAGGCAAAGCATCATCATGTCCTGAGCGAGTTGTATTCCCGGAAAACCTTTACATAGGTAAGATTTCTAAAGTTCTTACCTGAAAGATATATTTTTGAAAAAATCATATTAGGGTAAACATATTCTTGTAATACAATATGATTTTAAAACATCAGTAATTTCTAGATACTTTGTTAACCCACAAAATATCCTCTTTTAAAATCATTAGGGATCTTTGGCCAAACAGGATGTGGAAAGACATCATTGATCAATTCGCTGAAGTTTGCTGCCCATGGGCGACTACGAAGAGCCAAATGGTTGCAGGCTGCAACTCAGGAGAAGGCTGGAGGACACACCATGTTCAGAAGATTCGCTGATATTACCAAGAATATATTTGTGATTGACAACCGAGGTCTTGATGAGCCGAATACTGAAAAAGCGCTTACTGAACTACGTGCACAACTTGGTAAGGATAAATTGCTGTGCAGGAGAGAGCCTAGGTCTATTTGGTCTATTTCCGTTTGCATGCCGTATATAGTATCAAAAATTCAACAAACAAAACCACCGACGCATAGTAGTCCTACTAAAAATCCCGAGTCTAAAATTATGAGAACCTTCAGTCGCCCGCTAAATCAAGAAAAAAATGTAATACAGTTTATTATCATCATTATGACTATTATCATAATTATGATTATTTTTAGCTAATCCCTTTTGGTGACATTCACTTTTAATTTAATCGTGTTGTTAGAGTTCCAACTAGGTGCAAGAGAATTGTCGAAATTCTGACAACAAATTGGTGTACCAACATAAATAAAAGAAAAGATCATTCTAAAAGTGATGATGTGAAATAATTGTTGTTGTTTTTAGATGGAAAACGAGGGTACGGGTCAAAAGTCGTTTGGCAAGGAGAAAAGGATGAGGATGAGCTCGATACCTCGGACCTAGTCTTGGATCAACCTCAGACCGGACAACCAATCGGCTGTGCTGTCTTCGTCTTTAGGTATTAAACAGATGTAATAAAAGTGCTGCATCTTGAATGATGCTGTTCTGCTGTTGTCGGAACATTTTTTCAAAGGGGGAAGGTAGGGTCTGGGGTAGAGGGCATCACCAAACATGAATGGAAAAATATCACCAAAAGACAAAGACAAAATATAAAACTATGCATACGTAGCATTTTACCATTATAATGACCATTATTATGAATTACATTTTCAAAATGCCAGGAAAGTGAGTAAAATGATTAGTTTTTATGTGCTCTGTCATAAAACGCTTCTTTGAGAATAATGACAGCTTTAGGTATTATTTCTAATTTTAAAGTACTTAATCTTTCATTTAATATGCGGCATATATAAGTATTCCATTGTTTAGATGTTGTATTCCTATTGCTTTTTTTGCCATTTCACAATATTCTTTTCCTTTTGAAACATAACACAGCGCTCGGCATGATATTGACTCAAACACTACTGGATTGACCGAGGTCGTTGACTTCTTACACGGACACCAAGGTATGCATATCCTTTTAGAGAACATTTCACTATTCTGAATCGCATATTTACTAACGGGCTCTGGGGAACGATGACATGTTTATCTACATTTCACTTTTATTCAATAAAAAACTATTGGTCATACACGGAGATAAAGATATATATGGAAATTATGAGAAGAAAAATATACAAGCTGTCTATTATTTATGAAATAATTCAGTAACATTTTATCGACACAAAACGTTTCATATAAAATTGCATACGATTTGAAATATATTCCTTTTCTCGTTGTTATCATTTAGAGAAGTGTGTTCATCCATGTATTTGAATATCTGACCAGTGGCGTTCGTTATTTCCTCCACTCCTTCTCGAATTTCGTTCCGACAATATTATGGGATAGAGGAAAAATAATGATATAAATCCCTACCTAAAGTTCATGACTGTCAATCCCATTAAAAATAGTAAATAATTTTCCTCTTCTTTATTATATTTTGTATGTGTGTGTGCGTATGCGTGCGTGTATGCGTGCACTGTGTGTGTATGTGGGGGAATTTATGAGTATGTGGGGGCAACGGGCGTTGTGGCTTGCGCCTGTAATCCAGCTAACAGTGAAGGTTATAAACTGATTCAGCCGAGGATGCAGGTTCGAATCTGAGTCACGTCTTTCGCATGATGACGTTAGAGGTCGGTCCCTATATACGTTAATAATCATATCTGATTGATAACACGTCTGTAAAAAAATATATATATGCGTGTGTTTGCTTTGCTCTGTCAGGTCGCTACCCAGTGGCTGTCATAACCCACGTGGACGTGGCAGAGAAGGATCATGTTGAGACTCTCGAGTCTGTGCTACGTGTATGTGGTGTAAGTGACATCTTCAGGGTGGCCAATCTCACCGATGGAAAGGCAAAGCTAGAAGATCTCTACCAGCTCAGTCTCCTTAACCTCATCGAGAGGTGCATGACGGACGGTGACGATACGCTCATATTCAAGTACTATCAGAGGATGGAGGAGAAGCGAAGGGACGAGATTCAGAAGATACTAAAGGAGAAGGAGCGTAAGGAAGAAGAGGAACAAAGGGCACGAGAACTCGAACAAAGGGCACGCGAGCAGGAGCGGATGGCGATCGAACAAGAACGAAGAGCAGAAGAAGATCGACGCAAGTCCGAAAGAAGTCGTCTTGACATGGAATATGCTACGAAGTTACAGGAACAGCAGTACTTATTTGAAATGGAACACGAGCGAAAGCGGGCGGCTGCCCTGGAAAGAGAGATGGAGGAGCGAGAGGAGAGGGAGCGACAGAGAGAGGCGCGCTACGAGAAAGCACTCCGAGAAGCAGAGGCTAGCAAACAGGAAGACCTTAGGCGAATCATGGCGGCGAACAGAAGCAAAGACAGTGAATGTAAAATTTTGTGAACATTTAGGCCTACTTTTTCGGGGAATGATTTCATGGATGCGTTTACACAACTGTACAAACAAACACTCTTATAAACAGAATCAAAACAATTAAATAAGAACACAAACATTTATTTAAAAAAAAAACTTGTATAGGGGTTTTAAGCATCACATTGTTCTGGGAGTCAACGTATAACTCTCTTTAAAAAAAAGAGTGAATTTTCAAAATCACGGACGTCACTCCTCTGGAGAGTGAAAATAGAGTGAAAATAGAGTGAACATTCACTCTTTTCTTTTAGAGAGCACTCTAAAATCAATCGATTTTCATTCCTAAACAAGTGATCACGGACGTCACTCCCAAGAAAGTGAAAATAGAGTGAAAATTCACTCTTTTTTTTAAGAGAGATAGTATTTACTAATCGTTTTTTCTTTCTTCTAAAATACCTGCCATTATTAATTTTCAAAATGGTCAAATCAAAACTAGGTAAAACAAAAAAAATACTGTAGAACGTCCTTTATTTTACAGCTATTTCCAGACCTGTATTCATAACGGATTTCGCCATAAACAATAGTGAATTATAGCATGAGGGAATATCATATTTTGTGCTGCCATACTCCCACAGAATTTGTTGTTGTATTAACACAACATTATCTCCTTCAATTTGAGACAACTACTAATGCAAAAAAGAATTGCTATTTATCTATTCATTTGCTTTTTTCTTCACCCACATATGTTTAAAAAAATACAATTTTTTTCAAAGGGCCAGTTTAATGGAAAAGTATCCTGTTTAATATGAAAAACTTTAATTCAATATTTTTGTTGGTGTTCAGGTTTTCTCTGCTTTTAATTTCCCTTTTTTCTTTTCTCAACAATACAGTGTATACTTTTTAAGGGGTTGACGTTCATTAGACTAATTGCCCTTTTTGTTAACCACACATTATTTTCCATAACATTTTGTTTGCTCCTTTCCTTTGATTTTTGTTTGTTTTAATGTTTTTTATGGAGAATGAAATAAATAAAATGAAATGAAATGAAATGACATAAAATGGGGCGGGGGTCCCTCCATGCATATAGTGCTTGACACGCCACTGATTTCCAAGTAGGCTTCCTTTCCACAGGGCATTTAATGGTATTGTAAAGAAAAACTTGTATGATTATGGTCTTCTAGAAGGGCATGAAGAAAATCGTGAAATGACTGGAACGTGCTATTTATCTCAGTAAAACCTCCAAGATATGGTGAACAACTGATTTTTTAACTCCTAATAAATTTGAAGATTTTGTGTGTTTTTCGCAACTCATGAAAGGTGGACTTACGGAAGTAGGGCCTTTGTTGAATACTTTAAGATGTAATATTTCATAGTGTCACATCTTAAGAAATATGAATAGGGCCAAATCAAATGTTCACATATTTAAAAGTAAATTACAGAACTTGGTTGTTAACTGTATATTACCACAAAAATGCCAAAACTTTCAATTCTTGTATTCTGTTCTACTTATAATGTAGGTATAATATACGGTGTTTATAAATAAGAGCTATTTACACAGTGGTATATTATTATATTAAAGAATTAAACAAAACATACAAGCAAATAAGAAGCAAAGGCAAGCGATTTTTGTGATTTGTTAACATAAATATAATCTTAATATTTCGATTTCAACAGTATATATTTGTGTATGTAGATATTTATGTTTAGGCCAAGGTATTTGCATGTAGATATAGAACGAAAATACTCTTTTTTGTATAAACATTTATGTTGCAGATATACCCGTATAATGTATTGTATACCTGCTTCAGATTTATGAGAAAATTTAAATATGCATTTTGCCTGAAGGCAATATATCATAACATTGTGTAATTACGAAATTTGAATGACATTTTGGGACAAAAATATGATGTTTTGTATAATTATTGCTCGATGATGATTAGATTACTTGTGACACATTTTTGTTTAAATCAGAAATTCAAAAGTTTTTTGTGTTGTGGAATCTCAAGCTTGGTGAAATATTGCATATGTATATATATGTATGTGACTCTCTTGTTTCTGTGCATACTTCATAGTTGGGGAAATATCATAGTTTAAATTGTTTACCCATTACAAAGCGATACTCGCCTTGGGGAAAATTCATATTCAAATGTGTATAACATGATCGAAGTCGAAAACATCCCCCCTTTTGCATACTTTGAAGAACATTTTCCATTAAATATGTACCCTTTCTGTGTAATAGCAGGTACGAGGGAACTTGAATTACATGGTTAACCTGTAGCGTGCTTATCGGGTACACATTCTCAAAAACTACTACTCCTACTACATCGTATCGCACCTTATTTTATCTTATAATATCGTATCGTATTCCAAGTGTACTTGTATGTACAAAGTGTATTGTTCTCTAGATTATTAAAATTCGTTTTGAAAAAATATTGTTGATTTCTGGCAGTATTTCATTTGTTTTTATTTTTCATTTTTATTTAAATCATTTGCTTTTTTATTTTTGTGTTAATGCTCAGTATTATGCTTCTATGCTGTTGTCAATGTCACACTGTCTACACTATACCAGTCCATAGCTATTAAATCAAGATGTCAACAACAACAAAATATATGCGGTGGTATATACAGTATTACCTGTGTATCAGTAAAACGATATTGATTTGATTTGATTTGATTTTCATTTATTTTCAATAAACATCATCACAAACATTATGGTGTGCGAACAGGTACATAATCATACTACGATAACATGGGGTCGTCTTACATACAGCTTGGGCTAACGACCCTATCATAATTAAACATTGCATACAATAAATATACATGATTATGTAAACAATACATAGTGGAAAGCGGACGGCCAACAAAAATGAAAGAGATCGAGAGAGAGAGAGAGAGAGAGAGAGGGAGGGGGAGGGGAGAGTTGCATTCAGATAATAATCAAGTGGAACAAATGATTTACAGTCTTTGGATAACAAGCATCCTCACAACAAAATACTTTTTACTCACCCTGTGTAAGATAATTAATTAATGAAATCTTTCTTGTCCGAATCTTCAGACCGCAAACTTGTTCTTTCTTTTTCAGGAAGGTTAACGAATTGGCGTTGCGAAATTTCGGACAAGATAAAGATTCATTAACTGGCAATAAAGCATTACAATAGATTTATGTTTATAAGTTTAATTTAACACCAATAAGTGGACATTAACCGATACACACAAACGCAAGCCTACGCAAACTCACGCGCACACACACACACACGCACACACACACGCACACACATATTCATATTCATATTATACAGTGCTTCCCAGAAAAAACGAAACCCAAATCAGTTATTTTGAACAACATTTTGATATAATTCATTGCTTTTCATATGATAGGGATAATATACTTTCAATTGATACATTGATAACCTTAATCCATAGAAAATTCACTGAGCAACATTGTTTTTAAAAGCCATTGTCAAAATCCATTTGTGCCAGATTTTGTAAAATTATAAAAACGTTAGGATTACACATCAACATGACCGAACATGACCCGAAGAAAACACAGACTTTAAAAGCTAACTAGGAGATTCTTTTCGTGTGCTTTTTTAAACAATGAGGGTAAAAATAATGCTATCCTCATAAATAATGGTTAATTTTCAATGGTAAGGGTAATGGGGGTGTTTATTGTAATTACAAGTAAAAAGGTCTGCAATTGTTATGAAGCGTGACTTTTGCATTTTCAATGGCTGCATATTTGTAAAAGCTGACGAAGCTGATAGGTGGGTTCTATTTCCACAAGAATCAATGTAAGGTGCAAATTACATTGTACCTTGATAATTAATTAGTTTGATTATGCTCGTTACAAGTCATTGATTGCCCCTGTTTGTCGGTTAACATCGGTTCGTGTTAAAGACCAATTGAGCCTCAGATAATATTTATTTGTGAATTTCAGGGGGAAATTTTAAAACTTGAACGTTACAAGTTGAAATTACAGTTAAACAAATTTCCATCTCGGGATTAATTTCCCGATTTCAGGGTTTCAGGTTCTCAAACAAAACACGACAATAAAAAAACAAAGTCCAAGAGTTGCGAAAAGATGTTAATATACACCACACACATGATGTTATATGTAAAATTGATTTTATGGGTTCAAATAGTTCCAATAAACTAAATAAAGTTATATTGGCCTAGAATCTACAGTTGCCTCCCCCAGAAATATCACCCCTGGTCAATTACCCCACCCCTAACCCCTGAATATCACCTACTTGAAAGTTACTCCCCCCGCACATGATTAGTTATAGGTACTCCCATGACACCCCCCCTTTCATAACATGATAATTAGAAGCAGCATTACCGGGGTGGAGGTTAATTATCACCCCCTCCACATATCTCAGTATCCCTTTACTGCCTTTTTATATTCTGATAAGGGCCCAATTTCTTTTTTTATACTTATAAATAAGTACATCTGTTACTCTATATTAAAATTCAATTTGAACTGCAAATTCAAGTTTATTGATTAGAATCCAAAGTTTTACATGTATCCATCATTCGCATTTTTTTCTTCTTCAAAAGCATTATTATCTTTCGTAGAATATTGTGTGAAAGTTAATTATCAAGACCCTCAGACCATATTTTTTTGGATATGAATTCAAGCCAGCTCGCGTGAAAGCGAGAACTAATTTCACATATAAAACAAAGTTCGCTGTGAAATAAAATATCGAAATAAAAGGTATGTGTCATAGGAATGCAAATATTTGTTTCAGTTAGATGTAAATTGATATCATTTATGTATCTTTATGTTCAAAGTACAAGCTTCGAATATGAAACAAGGCTCGCTGTGTTTCTGAAATAGAATAAACTATCGAAATAAAAGGTATGTGTCATAGGATGCAAATATTTGTTTAAGATAGATGTAGATTGATATCATTTATGGATCTTTAAGTACATATGCCATATGGTGGAGACCATTATTTCATATTAAGTACACCCATAAATTCATGACAGTTGGTCCCCCATGATCCCCTTTTTTCTTATGTTAACTGAGAGCTGATTTGATGAGATAAGCACCCGTCAGTGACCTTGCAGGGAAGTCAAATCCCCTGGCCAAACTTGTGCAGACGGGCTTTAAATAAATAATTTTATCAAAAATAACAGTTAATAATATTTCTTGAGCTAATATTTCTTGAGTACATTCTAATTTGTCTGTTTAGTTTATTCTCAGGATTGATCGAGTGGTGACATTATAGAAAAATATATCACGCGATGCCTAAGAATTCATTGAAATCGGCCACAGGTCTGTCGCAACTTTTAGTACCAGGCAACAAAAAACACACTTTAAAAAAAAATCCAACGCTTATAGCAAATTGCTCCGAAAGAGAAGTATAAAAGTTAAGTTAGAGAAACAGATTGATGGAAAAGTGTGAACTAAATTGTACAATAAGAAATTTATAATTTTTTGAAAGTTCAATTCACTATACGTAAGGGAATTTCAAATTGACCGAATCGGTAATATTACTGTGACGTAGTGGCGGACAACTCTCCCATTTGTCCTAACACACAAATTTTCTAAAAGTATCAGGTTTTTTCAAAACTTATTATTCATCAGAGTATTTTCTTTTAATATGAATTTTTCTTTGAGTCGTAGAAGGCGCTTACGATAAAATCGAAATTAATATTTGTTGAGCACGATACGACTTCACAATCATCTGACAGAACTGCCAATTTTAGATTTACACATAAATAGTGAAGTAATTTTACAAATATATATATTTTTTTTTTTGATCCCATTTATTTCAAACTCTCGCCATTCTGTTTCTCTCGTTTTTCTTTGCTTTCATACAAATGAACTCATTACAAAGGCTTCTTTTGATGTTTCACTACTTAAAGTTTTTGCGAAGTTTTTATTGCCAATGTGAAACAAAAAGAAATTGGAAAGGGCCTCAAAAAATACGTCACAGAGTTGGCAATTTGTGTTTCATTGATTACAACTAATCGGAGTCCGCTCATTCTGCCACTAAGCTGCTTTTCTCATTTCTTTCGGGTTTTTTTCTTCAAAAACAATTAGATATGAGAGTGAACTTTGAAAGAAAGACGATCATCCAAAACTAACTCAAATAGCTTATAAATGAATGTATAACATATACTTTGTTTAATTGCTTACGTGATGAAAACAAATTCGTCTGACCTGCCAGAAATGTTATTATTTCTAATATTCTTTATATTGGATGGATAAGTACTTTGTATCAAAAGCATATGCTAATTAATTCTAAGAAATCATGTAGGTTGTCTCTATTAGCATTTTGCAATATGTAACTATGGTATCGTGTTTTTTCTGCTTCGTGCAAAGTCTTTAGTGATGGCGGACTATGCTCCCCTTTATATTTGTAAACAACATTTTTATTTTATTTGTCTTGCGATCGTGTGATTGCATACAAACATGTTAGTGTGGAAAAACAGGTTGTTCAATATAGGAGATAGTGATTATATCGTAGTTTATTGCATTTGACAGGGGAACAAGATATATATTACAAGTCTTTGAATCATCAATTTTATGAAAAGTAATAATCTTGTTAACGATAAAAAAAAAGTATATAAAATACTGCAAACCTAAGGTGCTGTTCTAAAGGTGAACTATACTTCTTTGGGTGATATTAAAGAAAAAATCGTTCCTAGTTGCTTTAAATTATGAGCACATTTTATTATGAAAGGAAAAAGGGGCACATATCAGAAAGAAAAATGGCACTCATTACCAAATTAAAGAGGACATATATACAATTTGAATAAGGGCACTCACCGGTGATGAAAACGGGCGCTTATAAGAATAACAAGGGGCATACAAAGGAAATGAGGCACTTGACATAATATAAGGGACACCTCTCAGATTTGAAAAGAGGCATTATAAGAGGTGAATGGGCACTTATCACAGGTGGTAAGGGGGACATCTTGTACCTAAATAGGGGCACTCCCCTGAGATGAATAGTGGCACTTGTGAGAAAAGAAAGGGACACTTATTACAAAGTAAAGTTGGCACTTGTCGAAGGAAAAGGGGTAGGCCTACCTATCAGATTTTGATAGAGGTATTTATCAGTAGTGTCAGAAGGGGAATTCATGAGAAGGGGAAAGGGCTCTTATTACAAAAAGAAAAAGGGGATTTATCGGAATGAAAAGGGCCACCGATAACAGAAGAAAAGGGCACTTGTTAAAGTAAATGGCCTGTCAGATTTGAATAGGGGCAATTATTAGAGGTAAAGGAGCACTTAGCCGAAAGTTAGTAAGAGACACTTACAAGAATGTGATACGGGCACCTATTTGAAATGAAAAAGGAGCGCTTATGTGATATAAAAGGGGACACATTTCCCTTGTCAAAAGGGGGACTTTAGGGGGTACATGAATAAGTGGGGGCGCTGTGCCCCCTGGCTCCGCCGCCTCTGTTATCACAAGAATTTTTAAAATCGTTTCTGTTTGAAATGGTTTCGAGAATGATTTGACAAATGTTTTAGATCTAATTAATTTTCTATCGCCTTGCAGTGCCAATCCGTTTTACCGTGCATCTTTAGGCATCGTTTTCTTATCTTTCGTTGGGAAAAATGATATTCATAGCGATAAAGTGCTGCAAATTATCATTCACTTTGAGTTTTCCCATGCCATCAACAAACAATGTCAACAAATAATTGTTATGATAAGAAACTGCACGCGATTTGCAAGAAAATCTCGTTATGAATCATGCATTGAGGCCGTGAAGTGCAAATTGTAACGTCGTACGTGTATTTTTTCTAAATTGATTGATAAGTTACTTTTTATTCAAACTTCATTGTATGTTAATTATTACCCAGAATTCATACAATAATAATACAGCATATTTATAAGGCGCCAAATCCACTTGACAATCAAATGCTCAAGGCGCAGCTTGTGCAAAAGATGAAATACAAAAGTGCAATAGGAAAGTACTAAAAGAGCATTTACAATTTTGCATTTCATTCGTATATTTTCACATCTATTTTAGGCTTGTCTACTTCATATAAATTTAATGGTATTCGGTCCATAAACATAAATGATTCGGAAATAGGTCAGTGAGATTGTAATTACTACATCTCATGATTTACTAACCACTTGTTATCATGATAAATAAGAATTGTACAAAATATATGAATATCATGTAATGCGAACCGTAGGTGCTTATGATAATACCCCTCTGTCTGTTCATTTTAGTAGCACATTTGGTGCTAAAGCAGCACTTCCTAGTACAGTTATGAGAATGATGATTCCCTAAAATAAAACAAAACCTTGAAATTAATTAGAAGCGCTTTGCCCTGAATGTTGAGGAGAATATTTTTATTTGAATGTATATCAAAAACGAAGCCAGTAAATGTAAAGTGTTTCATTTCAGTGCTTACATTGTTAGATGGCGCTATACCCAACTCTATTCTGACCCCAATCAATTATTATTGTTATCGTATCCATTATTCTATTTGGTTGTACAGCAAATGTAATATACATTTTAAATTCTTTATCTTGCGAAAGGAGAGGGGTGGAAAAAAACTAATTTCTCCCTCTATTTGTAGAGGTTAGCACCTCTTTTTTCTGAAAAAAGAAAGAAAATTGAATAATAAAGAGAGAGCGACGAAAGAAGTAGAAGTACCCAGTTGTTCTGTTCTTATCTATTGTGCTATTCTGTTCCATTTTTTTTTTCAATTCTGATTTGCTATCTCGGGGATACGGTGAATTAATTGCGTAAGATCATTTTTGGTAAACACGTATTTTTCTTCAGTTTTCTGTTAGTTTTCTTTTAGTAATCTCGATCTGAATAAGTAAGGATATTGCTAAAAAGTTGTACCCAACAGTTAGAAACGGGTTCTGTGACTACCCTCATCTTAAAAAGGGGAGAAAAGGAGATACTAGTCTTGCATCGCCATGATGACTACCTTGGTGAGAAGGTCTTTGGGAAGTGCATGGCGTTCGTCGTCTGTTTTGTCAGTGAATGGAGTCGATGCACGACAAGCTTCCACTATTCCAAGTAAGCTTACCCGTAAATCCGTATAGATCTAGGCTACCTAGGCCTAGTAGAAGCACTACTATCATGACTGTGTATTAAAAGCTGTGCTATTTATTCTCAACATTTTAAACACAACTGTACAAAATTCAACTTATTTCACTCACAATTGGCACTTTGTCTTTACTTTAGTAACGATTGATGACACCTAGGCTAGCTAAATTGCAGTAAAATACAAATTTTTCAACTTTCTGATGTTAGAAAGAATAATTTAAAAATTCAAATTGTGAGTCTAACTTAGATACTGTCAAACTTGCATGATTGTGTGCATATTTGTGTTGTGAGTGTATTAACTATTCATGTATTCAAATGCTGCCTACCGTAATTAACGATGTACATTTGTATTAACCGCACCTTTTTGTCGCCGAAAAAAATTCAAAGTCGGGGGTGCGGTTATCTACACCAAAAAAAAGAAGAAAGTTTTTTAAAGTTTCGATTTTTGCCCCTCCACCTGGCGCTATGCCTGGCAATGTCTCCCAGCTCAGTAATCGGTGTGTTGACTCTAGACCGAAAGCTTCAGTCTCTATAATCGTCGGTTGTTCCACTGAGACTACGTCTGGCTCCACTAGACCTCCGGTTATAGAGACAGAACGATCGCCTATGCCAGCCTATGTTGAAGATATCACAGCTAGATTTTAGCCGCTCGCCCCTCCCACAAACATGACAAACTTGCCACGGCCGTATTGTTATGCCCCCCAAATCCCCCAAAATGTCATTTTACCTCGTCCATATCCAATTTTAAATTAGGCCTAGGCTATAATACATCGGTTCCACTTACTAATTTGATGGAAATAATCCGTTTAATGGTCCCTTTTAAGGAAATTATGGGTCAAAATCGACATCCATGTTGAAAATCTTGCAAGCCGTGTTAAACTCTCGCTGCCGTCAATCTCATCCCTTCTAGTCTACGCCGAAGGCAAAATGATTATGAAGGAAAAAACTGTGATAACGCCATTACGAACGTGTAGATGGCGCACAGTTTTTCCTTCATCATCATTTTGCCTTCGGCGTAGACTAGAAGGGATGAGATTGATGGCAGCGAGAGTTTAACACGGCTTGCAAGATTTTTAACATGGATGTCGATTTTGACCCATAATTTCCTTAAAAGGGGCCATTAAACGGATTATTTCCATCAAGTTAGTAAGTGGAACCGATGTATTATAGCCTAGGCCTAATTTAAAATTGGATATGGACGAGGTAAAATGACATTTTGGGGGATTTTGGGGGCATAACAAATACGGCCGTGGCAAGTTTGTCATGTTTGTGGGAGGGGCCTAGCGGCTAAAATCTAGCCGTGATATCTTCAACATACGATGGTATAGGCGATCGTTCAGTCTCTATAACCGGAGGTCTAGTGGAGCCAGACGTAGTCTCAGTGGAACAACCGACGATTATAGAGACTGAAGCTTTCGGTCTATGTTGACTCACCTTTCGGAAACTAGAACAACACTCAAATTTGTCTATCATCTTGGTTTGAAAGTAATCTTTCTGATAGATTTCAATATGTAGTTGATAAAAATAATTCCTCCAATTTTTCTTCTATCACACGGCGTACCACAAGGTTCTATCCTAGGTCCTAGCTTTGCCAAAAAAGTCTGTAGCATAAGTATTATTCAGTACAGAGTATCTGTCAGCTTTGTCAGAAATCTGTGACGCCAGTCGCCGATGAAAATTCCAGCAGGTGCTAACTTTTAAGTTAAGAGATCGAGACATGACTAGATCAATATTATAGCTCTATTTGTCCGATTGGAGGTGAAATTTGATGTTGTTGTGGGTATGATGAGTATGATGGCTGTGGTCTGTCTCCTATTGCAGAAATTTAATTTGCCACCGCAGGGCTAGTTGCATGGGGTGGCTGCTTACCAATGTCGTAATTGCATGCCTACCCCGCTATGACCCACTAGTTTCTCGTAGTATGTACTCCCGTTCCTCCCTAGTTGGGATGATCCATTCGAGGAAAAGGTGAAACTGTTTAAAACTTGACAAATTTACTGTAACAACAGATAAACATGAGAATTTGGTTTACCTGTAGTGATTTGATACATGCTTTGATTGTGACGTTGCGCATAAAGCTTTATGACGTAACGCGTGCCGGCCATGCCGCCCATCGGGTAATGCATGGCCGCACACAGGGGAACTTGAAGCATTTCGTAAGTAGACTATTTGATAAGGAAGTATATAAACTCTACATTGAGGGTATTGAAGTATTCTGTGAGTAAGTGCAAAATAGAATCGGCATTTCCCGCAGATCAACCACACACCGGAGCCACTACTCCAGTGCATTGCTAGAGGTCAATACGCATTAGCATTGACAGATCATTTCTCCTCATGCAGTATTTGAATATGACCTTATCTTATTTTGATTCTCAGATGTGAAAGAAGAGAAGAACCTGGAAGGGAGAGCTCTTTACCTGGATGCTCAATCAACTACACCACTGGTAAGCATCCACAGGATATGACCAAAGTCCAACTCCATTCGTCCCTCGGATAGGACGTTAAATGGAGGCCCCGTGTAGAGAAGAGTCACTACCTTTGCACGTTAAGAACCCACTGCACTATTCGTATAAGAGTAGGGGAAAACCCCGGTGTAGTGGTCCACCTGCACCCCCCAGTACAAGTTAGCGACATGCGGAATACCGCCCTGCTGACTCCAAATTCAGAAGGTTCAGAAGGTTCATGTGGAGTTTTTACTTCTTAGGTCCATTTGCTATTCAATTCAATTCAGTTCAATTCAATTCAAGTTTCAGTACATATTTCATAAGCATGCAAATACAAATGATAATATACAAAAATATGGTGAGATAAAATCCACCACAACTAATAGCTGAGATTGCCGGAGTTTAATATCTCAAATGAAAGATTGAAATCATCAAGTTTAATGAAATAAGGAGTATCATATGTGAACAAGAAGAAAAATCAAGTATTACGAGTACAATTAGACACTTACATACAATCAAAAGGATAATAGTATAATGCCTGGGTGTATTTTGCAGTTAAAAGTTATAAGGTTTTAAACTAGTCTGGAGGGAAAAGGCTACCACTTCCCTAAGATGAGGGAAGTGATAGATGGACAAGGGAGGAATGAAGAGAAAAGGAGAGAGAGAGAGAAAGAGAAGTACAAGAAGAGAGAGATATAGAGCATGTATTCCAGGGGCCCGTCATATAGAACCTAATCCATCGCAAGTTGCAGTCTCCTATCTCTAATGTACAATTTCAATTTTAATTTCTATTCCAGTTCAATTATGAGATCACCAATGAAATGAAGTTCCAATTAGAAATATGATTATGATGTGGGATTTGAGAAGAATTTTTCCCAAAGAAGTGCCAGTTTCCTACATATATTGTTGACACTTTGGGATTTCAAAAATGAGGCAGTTTTGTGAATTCAGAGTACAGTTGCAATTACTGGGGGAAACCCTTTTATGTTTTGTGTTTTCAAGGATCCTAGAGTAATGGATGCAATGATGCCATACTCTGTGGCTTACTATGGCAATCCACACTCCCGCACACATTCATATGGATGGGAATCAGATGATGCTGTGGAACATGCAAGGAAGGTAAAAACAATAGCCAATAAGTTGCTCAGTTGCTGCAACTTTGCAAGTTATTTATTTATTGAATATTTGAGTAGGGTTATTGACACTGATGTTTTTGTTTTCTTTTTTCTGTAATATTTTTTATTAGAACTTAAAAGGATTCACAAATTAAGTAAAAAAATGTCTTATTCTATAGACAACCAAAATTAAATTAAACTATTTAGGTTTATACCACCTTAAAATTGTAATTTACATTTGTATTTTTTTTTTTTTTGGCTTAGCATGCAATTAAAATGAAAGTAAATATAATGCATGTGTATAATTTTATGATTTAAAGTTGACCTCATTATAACAGGAATCGGCCAGCATTGTGGCATGTGCAAAAACAAATTAACATTATTTTGAAAGACTTATTGATGATACAATCGTGATTGTTTGTTCTTGCAGCAAGTTGCCAATTTGATAGGGGCAGATGCCAGAGAGATCATCTTCACCAGCGGAGCTACAGAATCAAATAACATCTCTGTGAAGGTAAAATTTTGAGAAATTGCACTATTTAAACCAACCATTGAGATTTTTAGATTTTTTTTTTTTTTAAGGGGGGGGGGGGGGGCTAGAATATAAAGATTCATAGAGATATAAATCAAGGCCTGAATATCAGAAGTTATATGAATGTGGTACAGTGATTAAAGAACAGACATAAAGTTGTTTGTATTTTTCTGTTTTACATCTGTGATCATTCCTTGTGTACTGTTAATTGTATCCCCCGGCAGTATGCCGGTGGGGTACTTTGGATTCAGCAGCGTTACGCCGCGCCATCTTGTGTGCGGTCTAACTGCCACATTTCTTGACAGATTTCTTTTAAATTTTGTATGGAGGTGTATCTTGGTATAATCTACACACCTATAACTTTTGGTGATGCTGCCCCCAGTGTTCCGTCTTCTATAGGGTAAAAGGCCATATTTTATTCTTGTGTGCGCTCTTACTGCCACATTTCTTGACAGATTTCTTTCAAATTTTGTATGGAGGTGTATCTTGATATAATCTACACACCTATAACTTTTGGTGATGCTGCCCCCAGTGTTCCGTCTTCTTTAGGGTAAAAGGCCATATTTTATTCTTGTGTGCGCTCTAACTGCCACAATTCTTGACAGATTTCTTTCAAATTTTCTACAGAGATGTATTATACTTAATCTACACATATAGTGTTTTGATGATGCTGCTCCTAGTCTTGACAATAGTCTGAGCCACAATTGGCGATCTCTACGCCATCCTTTTGTTTCAGGGGGGGAGGGGATCTTTGTCCCTCCTTCGACCATAAGGATGACACAAAATCGCTGCCACTCCCGGGGGATACATTCACATTGCGCGGCAATACAGATTGCGATATTTCTAGTTATATTACACTATGGGTATCAGATGAAGATCATATGAAGAGACAGCAATACCTTCCCCCCTTCTCTACACAGTGTATTTATCACCCGGTTCTCAAAACTGTCATAAGTATAACTTCTAGGACATCCCATAGAAACATATGTAATAGAAACATGCATTTATATGGGATATATCCACAAACTTAGACTTATGAAAGTTTCAAGAAACTTGCCTCTGGTACCCCGTCCTTCTGCTATTAAAACCAGTGTGATTACATACATGTTACTGGTACATGTAGGTGCTCCCTAGCATACCAAGCCCTCTCTTATCGTTCATTGTACATGTATGTTTTTCTTTCTTTTCTCCCTGCAGGGAACTGCCAGATTTTACAAATCTAAAAAGAAGCATGTCATCACAACACAAACGGTAAGATCCCAGCAAAATGTTCTTCATTTCATATTTTCTAGTCCATTCAGAAATGTTACTGATTTGGTTCTGTCATCAGAATACACAACTTTTTGGCTTCTTAGAGATATATTTGCAATGTGTCATGTCATTTTCAATAATACTTTGAGCTATTTTGTAATTCTGCTTACCGGTATTTTTTGGTCTAATGCCAGGAGTGATAAATGCAGTGATATGTCCAAAAGGCAATACTTGATACTGTTACTAAATGCACCATTATTAAACAGATCTTGAATTGATTAAATTATTGATATTGATTGAATTATAAATGGTAAAGTTAACATACCATTTGAAAGTGTTCTCATCTTATCTTATACCCATACAATTTCTTTTGAATTTGCCTATCCTGCATGCATAATATTTTCATTTTTTTAAATTTAAAATAAAGATATATATATATTCATCCTAAAGTTTGTTCCAAAGATTTAATTATGCAGAATATCCTTCATCTAGTGACGCAGTGAGAGTCAGGTGTGAATTATTATTACATCGTCTTTATATTCTCATTATCAGGAGCATAAGTGTGTCTTAGACTCCTGCCGGGTACTAGAAGGAGAGGGTTTTGACATCACATATCTTCCAGTTAAGCCCAATGGCATAATCGATCTTAAGGTGAGTTCTAAAAAATACATTAACAGAGAATTGTAGGGAAAGGCAAGCAGATGTATGTGTCAGTTTTCTGGTAAATACGCCTTTTTGAACTCTTGCACTGAGGAAAATTCCAAATATTTATTTATGATTGAATATGATAGGAACATACTTTAGACGTACTATGTCCCCTTTGAGCCAACATCAAATTCTGTAAAACTTAGCAGGAATTATGAATATGTCATGTATGTCTTATCTGTGAAATTGAAACTTACCGAACAAATACAAATAATGCAAGGAAACCCTTTTACTTTCAAGACTTTACTGTCAGACACTATTTTTTCTTTGGTAATAACATACTTTTAAATTGAGTTTTAAAGCTAAGCTTTTCAATGCAGAACTTTGTTAGGAATCTGGCTATACATCTCTTTATGTCACACATTGAGAGATCAAGTATGGAGCGGCAATGTGCTGTTATTTTGTCATTATGCTACAAATGTCCTAGTGGAAAAAACTAGAACTTGGCACTCATTCACAGTTTTGTGTTTTTAATGTTCATCTATCTCATTAGTACTCCATATTAATTAGAATGTATCAAGCTTCTTTGACGAGAAAAACCTGTAAAAAATGTGAAATCCAATATCATTGTGACAGAATAGGATGATATTTGACAGTAATCAGCATTTCCATATGTACACATCGAACCCCACTATACGAACATGATTTGCGGGATGTCGCGTTTATCGTCTCTTCACGATTAAAAATAAAGGCCTTGTCTCTGCGAGCTGCTTTGCGCCATTTCACCCTGGAAGCAACTGGAGGTCAACTAGAGCGAGTACACACACATGCTTGTACAACAACATGACACAGCACATGGCTTGCGCTATTTCTCTGAACAAGAAATAAGCCTGGGAAGGTCTGATTTGTATGTGGGGTTCAAAACAGCTTTGCGTTTATCATCTCTCAGAAACGTGATTCTGGCTCTATGTCACATTCAAAACGCACTTTTCTTGGCGTTTCAATATACCCATATTTAAAGATTTTTGAGAAAGGCTTTGCGTTTATCCCCTTAAAAACTTGCCTGAAAGACGTTTTAAAATGCTGATTCTAGGCAAAAAACTGGACAATAAACACACCCATATTTCAGCTCTCATTGGTTTTTTTTTTTTCAATGATAGGAACTGGAGGCTGCGTTCAGACCAGACACTGTTCTATGTTCAATCATGGCAATCAATAATGAGATTGGTGTGAAGCAGCCCATGAAACAAATAGGTAAGCTATTATTCCTAGTTATTCCATGGTAGCAGTGAGTACATTGCCTGAGCCATTCTTCTGTTGTTTAAGTGCTGATCATTATACCGACTTCCCATAATATATTGCTAATTTTCTAAAAACATGTTTTCCTCCAAACATCATACACAAAAAAAAAACTTTCTGATTCATAGCTTTTTATACATTTTGAAAAATTGAAATATCAGCCATTTTGTGTGTTGGAATGGGAAATTTGTCAACAACGACATCACAGAGACATTACCGGTACTAATTTAGCCAATTTGAAGAGCCCATACCGATAGTGATTGCAAGTTTGCAACTTTCTCATTCTTTCTCCAATTTCTTTCAAACTTTCACCAGGATGTGTCTCTGATTGTTCTGCTTTCTTCTAGAGTGGTTTGCTATCAAGGTTAAATTTCCCTTTAACTCTATCTCAAGTGCCAATGGTTGACAACCAATGGTAGAGACTCCTTTGTTGTGCAAAAGGACAATTTCTTAATCATTTGCATTAAACAGTTGAATCTGGTCATTCTTGTGTTTCTATGCTCAGGTGAGATGTGTCGATCAAGGAAGGTATTCTTCCACACTGATGCTGCCCAGGCTGTAGGCAAGATCCCTGTTGATGTCAACGACATGAAGATTGACCTCATGTCAATCAGTGGACATAAGATCTACGGACCGAAAGGTAAGCTGTTCAGATGTTGAGAGGGCGCTATTCAATCAAATACATAGATTGTTTGCGCCACTCTTCAGCTAGGATGATCAATAAGTAATTATGCGAGTCCATGTTTGGTACGACTTGGAACACAAGTTTTCCACTGTTCTTGCGCATCTTGTTGATGTAGTCCCAAATATTGTGATTTAGGTCATGTAGAACAGCCGATAGGTCTGAATAAAGGACAGATATGCCTGGTCTGTGATAAAAAGATTCTAGGAAGCTATAATCTCAGTCTTAAGTATGAAATGTTCCAATTTATTTACAATATGACAACTTAAACATATATACATTCCATGTTCTAACAGGACAGATCTAGCTTGTATATAATGTACAGTTGACATTAAACTTAAAATAAGGCGTAAATTTGACATTTAAACGTATATATTGACATATGTTTATATGTACATATTGACATGTACTTTAAATTTGACATGGCTGTAATTTTTTATGTTAAATGCAGGTATTGGAGCACTGTATGTGAGGAGAAGACCTAGAGTGAGGGTGGAGGCGCTGCAGAGTGGAGGGGGCCAGGAGAGGGGTATGAGGAGTGGTACCCTACCTGCACCCCTGGTGGTGGGTCTGGGAGCCGCCTGTGAAGTCTCACAGCAGGAGATGGAGGTTAGTCCATCAGCATCCTATATGCCGGGCCCTGTCTCGTAAAACTGCTATCAATTATTAAACAATGCTAAAAATCTGTGACACATTTTCTCTCTGCCAATCAAATGCTATGATTTGGTAGGTAAACACAGATATTGTAAATTGTTTAATTGATAGCAAGTTTTATGAAACAGGCCCCTGGCTCCACATGATAAATTACTCCAAATAGACAGATTGGACAAATATAAACCAAGTTTGGGTGAAAATAATGTTGCTGTGTGCATGAAGTGCCCCCAACAGTACATGTACCTACATGTATGTGTAATACAGATGCAGAAATGTGCAGTGCTCTAGGCTTACCGGTGTGTAATTTGTTGTCAGACAGCGTTTTGTTTTTGTGTCTTTCCTCCAAATTTGAAGAAGAAAATAATATTAAAAGCAAAGGAGTATTGCCAAAAATATGGCTTTGTCTGATGGGTGTAATTTTAGGCAAGGTACAATGTTCATGCATATTCATTTACCATTTTCTGATGTGATTGTAGTTGACGGGGAAAACTAAAAGTGTTTTTAGTGTTGTGCTTGTAAACAAACATACACACAACATTCTGCAATCAGTGTACAACAAGGACTTATATGGAAGTGGGGATGCATCTGAGGGTTATCATCTTTATACAATATTTTGTTCACTGGGTAGGAATTAATTTTTATGCCTCCGTTACGAAGTAGCCGGAGGCATTATGTTTTCGGGTTGTCCGTCCGTACGTACGTCTGTACGTACGTACGTCCCGTTCTCGTGATCGCGTTATCTGAAGAACCGATTAATGGATTCCTGCCAAACTTTGGTCATGTATGTATCTTGCAGAGCCGATGAACTGATTAGATTTTGGGGTCACGAGGTCAAAGGTCAAAGGTCACAGGGCTTATTATGTATGCAAAAACAGCTTGTGATCGCGTTATCTGAAGAACCGATTGATTGATTCCTGCCAAACTTTGGTCATGTATGTATCTTGCAGAGCCGATGAACTGATTAGATTTTGGGGTCACGAGGTCAAAGGTCAAAGGTCACAGGGCTCATTATGTATGCAAAAACAGCTTGGATCGCGTTATCTGAAGAACCAATTGATGGATTCCTGCCAAACTTTGGTCATGTATGTATCTTGCAGAGCCGATGAACTGATTAGATTTTGGGGTCACGAGGTCAAAGGTCACAGGTCACAGGGCTCATTATGTATGCAAAAACAGCTCGTGATCGCGTTATCGCAAGTACCGATTGATGGATTCCTGCCAAACTTAGGTCATGTATGTTACTTGCAGAGCCGATGAACTGATAAGATTTTGGGGTCACGAGGTCAAAGGTCACAGCGCACATTATGTATGCAAAAATAGCTTGTGATCGTATTATCATTAGAACAGATTGATGGCTTCCTGCCTAACTTAGATCATTTATGTATCTTGCAGAGCCAATGAACTGAGTAGATTCTTGGTTCATAAGATCAAAGGTCATGGGCTCATTATTTATGCAAAAATGGCTTGTGAACGCATTCTCATTAGAGCTGACAGATGGATTACTATTTAACTCAGGACATCTTGCAGAACCAATGAACTGAGTAGATTTTAGGGCCATGAGGTCAAAGATCAAAGGGTCATATATGTATATGAGAAATTGCTTGTAATCACGATATTCTGAGAACCTGTTAATGGATTACAATTGAACTTGAATTTGAAAAATTTCTTCCGTTTCAGTTTGTAAAATTGCTCTATGACGGAGGCATCATTTTTTACTGCGTGCAGTCGAATTCCATCTAGTTAAATCCAACTTAGAGTTAAGTTTGACTTTGAATCTTTGTGAAACACCCCCAGTACAGGTCTCATATTCATAAAACTGTAAGTACTAAGCATAGTCTTACATGTAAATTGTAATATTTCTTGCTATATGTTTGTGTACTACCAGTACGATCACAAGAGAATCAGCGCCCTCTCTGAGAGACTCATCCACAAGATCACCAGCGAGCTGCCCGACGTCATCCGCAACGGTGACCCCGACGAGACCTACCCAGGCTGTGTCAACCTGTCCTTTGCCTATGTGGAAGGTGAGAGTCTTCTGATGGCGCTCAAAGACGTGGCCCTGTCCTCTGGGAGTGCCTGTACATCAGCATCCCTGGAGCCTTCCTATGTCTTGAGAGCTATCGGTGCTCAGGAGGATCTGGCCCACTCATCCATCAGGTAGGGCTCATAAAGCTTGTTCAGATATGGGGGGTGTTTCACAAAGTCTAAGATCGACTTTAAGTTGGACTTAACTATGGCAGGTCATTAATACCACTGGCTGCTCTCGCTATTGGTCTTTCAATTATGAGCTTTAGATAATATTTTTTCGTTCAATAATGAAATATCAAAAAATGTAGTTGTGACCACGATTTATAGCTCCCTTGAGAAACCAATGCCAGGAATGATTAGAGGAACTAGTGGCATGAACGGCCTGAATAGTTAAGTCTAACTTAAAGTCGGTCTCAGTCTCAGATCTCAGTTTGATAAACCACTGCAAGAAAGCTGCCACGTTTTTTCTTGTGTAAATGAAATGTAACTGAGTGCAACAAAGGACTTGCTTGTTTTCACTGAGGTCTGTGTTATAAGATTACAAAAATATGAAGCGTATTAAACTTTACATCATTAAAACAATGCTGTAGTTTTGCTGTGACTTGTCTGAACAAGCCTTTAGATTGGCATGAATTTTATTTATTTATTTATATATTTATTTAGGGAAAATCTAATAATTTCATAAGCAACGATGATTGATGAACTGAGAATATATTTATATTTATTGTTAAAGAAAATTGATTAATTGTTCTTTTGCCTTGTCTTTACAGGTTTGGCATCAGTAGATTCACAACAGAGGAAGAGGTGGATTACACTGCGGAGAAGTGTGTGCATGAAGTGACACAGCTCAGAGAAATGAGGTGAATAATAAACTTCATCATCAATACTCAATAGTGATCTGTTCAAAGACATGATAAATGACCCTATCTTTCAAACAACTGTCTCTCTAATTGTTGAGCTAATGGGCAAACTGCTTCATATCACCTTGTCCTTCCCCTCCGCAATTAACTATGGTATCATCCTTAAAGGTATTACAAAGTTTTGGTATGGGATCATGAATTTGGTTCAAATGAACATATCGAGTCTAAAGTGATGAAATTGTAAATAATAAACTTTTTATGTTGAAGAGCGCCCTCTCAAGACTGATATTACTTTATCTTTAAAGGTAAAGACCAGTATTGGAAATGCCCTAATTTCAAAAAATGAAGCTCTTATTACCAATCATGTGAAATAATGTTTTGACTAGTACATGATGATACAAATTTTTCCGGGAAATCGCCTACTAATTGATATATTTGGTAAATTAGTTATCTACATGGTCTGTGAGAGATAAACACATGTGTCGCGCACGTGTGCGTATAGTCCCATATACATCTTTCTGTGTACAGCGCTTGTAACTTTACGAAGACTGGGTCATATTTCTTATCATTTTGAAGATTCCAGAACCTTGCAGTACACACCAATACTTATATGCTAGATGATAAACCTTTTCTGATCGATTCCACAACATTTCTTTCACAATGCAATCGCATGACCATAACTGGTCTTTACCTTTAAAACAAGGTTTCTTGATTTCAATCGACCGATTTGCTATTCCCATTTGGAAATTATATATCACAACTGTATATTCTGATATTTTCATGGTCGCAGCTACCATGGAATGGCCTTAGGCGCTATTTGAAATATTCAAGATTTACCGGGAGCACCGGTAAATTTTTGATTATTCAATTTCTCAAAAGCAGAAGTGTTTTTAGGGGCTAAATTTTCTAATGCGTAAAATACATCCACAGGGGCATCCAAATATATCAACATTTTATAGAATTACTATCAATCCAATTTACAAATTTCCCAAAACTTTCCATTACCTTTAAGATGTTTGCTAGGCCTTTCTTGTGCCTTCTTTTCCTTCAAATGACCTTCCAGGACCAATCATTTGTTTGCCATATCACATTATGTGTCCCATAGCATAGTGAGAGAGATAGTTATGACACACACGCACACCCTCAAAGGTCATTTGTCTGATAAACTTGCTTTGTGATCCTTAAATCATACTTTTACTACATCAATGATCAAACCAGAAAAGAGCTCACTCGAGCAGGAGGGCATTCCCGCCAACCCTTCAGAATATTCCAGAATATTTTGATTTTCTGGATTTTTAGGACCTGAAAATTCAGAATATTCAGATTCTTCAACAATTTTGTTGTTGTTGTTGTGCTAAAGCCGAATTAAGCTTGTTTTATCATGCGTTGAGTGGCTGCATGATAGAGCAGCAAATTTGTATTCGCTTTTTGGTACAGATTTACCGCGTATTGCCAGTTACACTGCCGCTGCATGTGCGATTTCTTTTTGTTGAAGGCATACTTGCTAAAAATTCCTAATTCTTATTTTCAAATTTGGCAGGTATGGAAGGTTTTTTTTTTCACATTGATCAGTAGTTGATACTTTTTAGTTTTCCCATGTGTAATAAATATCTTCTCTGGTATGGTTTTCACCCCCAAGTAAACATACACAAACCTACTTGTTTTTGTGATCTCTCCGTTATATAGCCCTCTGTGGGAGATGGTGCAGGAAGGAATAGATATCAGCAAAATCAAGTGGACACAGCATTAGGAGACTACTTCAGAAAGGTAAGAAAGGCACTATGATATGATACCTCATCTCAAGACAGATGGGTTACCATCAGGGGGGTGTTTCACAAAGATCCTAAGTCAAACTTAACTCTAAGTTGGACTTAAACATTATGGAGAGCCATTTGTAGCCTAAAAATAAAATATATTCAAAAGCAAAAATTCGAGTATTTTCATAAATTCCACATCAAGAACATGAAATCTTCTTGATAATAGAAATTATGAATGATTTGACTCAACAATATATGCCTTTAAAAATAACTTTTACAAAATATTTTCAAAGATGCTAACGGCTTTCCATAGAGTTAAGTTCAAGTTAGGATCTTTGTGAAACACCCCCGGGTCTTACAATTAGCCAACCGCACACTATACGATCCTGCTTCAGTCTGATTTTTTAAGAAAAATCTGAATTTTAATAGACATGGAAATCTAATCAAACAATCATTTTCTTGATTTAGGTTCTAAATAAAGATAACTCTATTACTCTACTAACAACCAGAATTTTCTGTAGATGGAAGCTAGTAGGATACCATGGAGTTTTTACTTTGTTACCGGTAATAAGGATACTAATAAGAATCTTGGTCATTCAGATTTTACTTGTTTGAATATTCATATCAATTACCATTGTAAATTCTTCCAAACTCAGTCAAGATTGTATAGTGTGCTGTAGCCTGTAGGCTCTAGGATTCCATATCATTTTGATTCGATTTGATTTACTGCGCATGAATTGCAACTATTAATGAAATATATATATATATATCCCCACCAGAAGATATTTAAATGTATTTTTACATAAAAAAGAAAATGAAAAGGGAGAATATCTTGAATAAAAGACAATTAGAGCATCCTCATCCTAAATAACGAATCCAAAGCTGTTTTGGTCTACCAAAGGTTTTTTTGTTAGCGGCTGATTGATTTTATAATTTCTTCTACATGTACACTAACATACTTATAGAAAGTATGAATATTGATTTATATTGCAGTCATGATCACCATTTTCCCCCTACAAAAATAATAAGATAATTTTTGTAAGACTTCAACAATTGTGTTCAAACATTGAATTCAAAAGGCAAAATTATTAAATCATGTAATAATAATAATAATGATGATTGATTCTTATTGAGCGCTGTTACAGAAAAAATGATCAAAGTGCTATTACAACAGAAAGGAAACATGTATCATGTGATTGATGTATGACATTTATGCTGAATATGAAATGGCTATAACAAATACAGCAACATTGACATTGTAAGTTCACACACATGTATATTGCCTCCCTCCCCCTCCCAGATGAAGCACAGTAGATGATGCAAGTTGATTCCAAGCTGAGCTGGAGCTGTGACATCTTAAGATCTCCAAAAGAACATCCAGTCCTTAGAATGGCAACATGGAAGTTTTTGCATCACTTCCGGCGTATCTGAATATCGTTACCATCATAATGAAAATGGAAATTGGACTCCAGTAGTATATACTTTGATATCATTTACTGAACATTTATCATTGTTTCACTTTGTTCCCTCTCAATATTTCTCTCTTTTATAATAATAGGTACATTTATATAGCAAAGCTACTTTATGGGTATACTTATACTCTACTGCGCTTAATACAAAGTATCATAATATTACCGCGGCTGTAGCTGAGCTGCCATAATGAGGCCCTAAAACAATCAACAAATTCTTTCCTACCGGGTTCATGTACCTATTTACTTCACCTGAGTGGAGAGTGGCAAGTGTAGATTAATGTCTTGCCATAGGACGCTGGTGCCACGGTGGGACTCAAACCGTGAACCGTGTGATCCACAGTCAGGTGACGTATCCACTAGGCCATGGCTCTTCTACAAGACTGTCCTTGATTAACAGAATCCTTAGTAGCCTCCTCTAAACCTCGTTCAGACCTGTTGCAGTAAAGCCCATCAAAATATGTAAGTGATAAATGTATGCTCGTTGAAAATCTGTATGATATAGATCACAGGATACTTGTAGGTGCCTTAGTTGTTCTCAGCGCTCCCCCCCCCCCCTACCTAATATACATGTACACATAACATGGCTTGTGTATTTCTGCATATATAATTTTTGTTGGGGGAGATGGGGGCAGTTCAGTTCATCATGTCTGAATGATGCTTTAGCATGCAAATTTTTTACGGTATTGTTCATTTGTTACTATATGGTAAGAATCTATTTACAATGGTTCAGATAATGGCAACACTATGGCAACAGTATTGAATCATCATTTCTTGTGCATGGCTTCAAAGTACATGTAGCTTTACATTCTAGAACATGATGTACTATTGTTACTGCCTGTAAGAAGTGTATAAACCTACATGTCAGTAAGGTGTTGGCTTTGTATAAGATTAAACTGACCAGGATGTAGAATGGACCCAAGAGTTGTCCTTCATTGAAGCCCATTTTGCATTAACTTTATCCAGTTTTCTTGTGTTGATATTTATCATGTGTGATCCAAAGTTTATTTGGTCCCTGATCTTTCTTTGCACAATATAAACCACAGACTGTAATTTAAAAAAAAATGTGGACAACTTATAAACATACCCAAACTAAATATGTCTTCTCGTAAGGCACTAAGTTGTAGGCTCGTGTAGCTAGTTTATAGCCCTATTTGATTACTGGGCCACAAATTTTAAGGGCTTTTAAGCAAACGTTCAAATCTTTATATAATTTAGAGTGCGGGGTATTGATTAACCTCACTGTGATGCAATGCTTTTGAAAGTGGATTGCCTGCTTTCAATAATAATAATAATAATGATAATTAATAGTAATATTAATAATAACACTAATGATAGTAGTAAAGATAATAATTATAGTAACAATAACAATAATGGTAATAATAATAATAATAATGTAAATGATAATAGTAATAATATTAATAATGATGGTAGTGATAACCATAATGATAATGATAAAAGATATTTATGTAAATAGTTGTACATTAAAAAATTGGGTGTATAAACATAACTTGGTGCGTGAGTGAGAGATGAATGCTTGGTGAGGATAGGGAGGAGGTATTATAATATTATCATGTATGAATAAATTCAATCAATGTAAACATTTTTACACCATATATCCTCTCTCATTTAACCCATTGCCCACAGGAATCGGTTGGTCCCTGTATAAAGCCTATGGGGATTAGAGCATTCAGTACTCAACGGGTTGATGTAAAGCTCCTTTTCTGATATACAGTGTATAATTTAACAGAATTTAAATTTAAAAACATGAATGATATGTCAGCAAGAAGAGGAGGTAGCTACAAGATATGATTGCCTGTCGCATGCACAAATAAATAAATGAATAAAAGAGTTGTTTATCAACGTTTGTTTGTTTGAGGTCTGTTCAATTTATGTGTTTCAACTTCGTATGATATTCCAGATTGTAATTTAGTGTTTGAGTAATGATCCTAGAAAACAAGTATGACAAATGAAAGTTGGTGATGTAATTTGTCCTGGACATCAAACGAACATGCAAATCGAGAGACGATCTGAATGTTAATACAATCTTTACTATATTTAATAAGATGATGTCTGGGCATCGTTTCACTTTCACAAAACCCTCGTAGGAACAAGTTCTGGTATCCCGTTAAGCATGTGCATTATATATACATGCGTTTTGAGGGGATGTCAGTTAATTCGTACTTGTAACGGTCTCGTGAAACGCTGCCCATGAGGCATCACGGTCGCAAAGTCTTTCAAAAGATACAAGCAATTTCTGTGGCCTAGTGCATCACCATTAGTGCATTATCATTCAATAAACTGTGCTGCGATAACATGGGGCTATCACAAACCCTGAATAGGCATTCTACACAATACATCAGAGGCGTCGTAGCCGGGGGGGGGGGGGGGGGGGGGGGGCAGGCAATGTGCCCCCCCCCCCCACTTTTTCAAGTACCTCTAACTGAAGTGCCCCTTTTTACTTCAGATAAGTGCTCGTTCCACATTCCTATACGTGCCTCTTACCCCCTCTGATAAGCGGCCCCTTCACATATGAGAATTGCTCCTACTCAAACCTGAGAGGTGCCCATTTTACTTAACAAATGCCCTTTTCTTTTGAAATTAGTGGCAGCCCCTTCCTCTTCCGATATAGTGCCCCTTTTCATGTTTGATGGATGCTACTTCTCACCTCTGACAAGGGCCTCGTTTTATTTTGACACGTGCCCCCTTTTTCTTTCTGATAAGTGCCCTTTCTGCTTATGATAAATGACCCTTTTCTTTGTTAAGTAAGAGCCACTTCCCCTTTTCATAAAAGCCTCGTCTGACACCTCTGATAAATGCCTCAATTCAAATCTGATAGGTAAACCCCTTTTCCTTCGACGAGAGCATATTTTCCTTTGACGAGAGCATATTTTCCTTTGTAATAAGTGCCCCTTGCCATCTCTGATAAGTGCCCCTCCACCACTTATAATTGCCCCTTTTCAAATCTGAGAGGTGTCCCTTATATTTTAACAATTGCCTCTTTTCCTTTGTATGCCCTCTTTTTAATTCTTATGAGGGCCCCTTTTCATCTCCGATAAGTGCCCTTATTTAAATTTGAGAGTTGCTCCCTTTAACTCTGTAATAAGTGCCCCTTTTCATCTCCGATTAGTGCCTCTTTTATTTTGACACGTGCCCTTTATCCCTTCTAATTAGTGCCATTTACCTTCTAATAATTGCCCTTTTTTCATCTCTAGGGAGTGCCCCGTATAAGAGAAATGCCCCTTTCCACATCTGATAATTCCCCTTTTTACTTTGACATGTGCTCATTTTCTTTTCTGATAAGTGTCCTTTTCCCTTTTGATGTGTGCCCCCTTTTCGTTGTTTGTACTATAAAATGTGCTCCTAATGTTAACCAACTATAAGAGCAATTTTGTCTTTATTTCAAAAGCTTACTCGCCTATACGCTCGCTAGCTCGCGTTTGTTTCTTTTCAGGATTGAGCTTAAAACCCAACCATGACTGTTTTTCCTCTTTATAGGACGTATATTTTCGCACTGCATGTGACCTCACAATTTTTGCTCGCTCGCAAGTAAATATTCAGACCATATCACATCCAACTGCAAAGTATGATGTGTTAAGCAGTATATTTGACCATGTAAAGAGATAATTACACATTTAAATCATCCCTGATGATGTCATCACAATATACCAATTTCTAAGAATTGTGTATTTTCGCTTTATGGCTTCCCTTTGTAGGTGCCCCTTTTTTTCAAGAAAGTGCCCTTTTCTGTTGGTGCCCCCCCCCCCCACTTTAAAAAAGATGCTCCACGGCCGCCTTTGCAATACATGTATTTTTTATTTGATTTTTCGAGAGTCTTTTACATCGTGTCAACTGTCAAACAAAAATTTGAAATACAATTATTCGTAACAGGTGAATTAAATAATGTGTAAAGAAGCCCTATTTTGTGCATTACATTTAATAACATTACGAAAGTGGCCTATTGCATATATTTTAGGTGTTGCTAAGTAGGACAACTATGGCTTGCCATACCTAGCGACACAAACATATGCGAAGGAGTAAAATGACCGATCGAGCTTAAGAAAAAAAAATCATATCATACATGTACCCTATCGAAAAAAAAACCCCACTAATGCCCTTTTCGTACGCTGCGTATTGGAAGACGTTATTTTCCCTTTCTCTATACCTCCTTTCACTCTTATGCGCCCCCTCTCTTTGCATTTCTTGCGCCCCCCCCCATCAAGTACCCCTCTGCTCTACCCCCCCCCCCCTAGATGTACCACTGTACAAGACCGAATGTTCTCTCTAGCAGACAAGCAAACAAAATACAAAAACAGAAGCAAAACCAATTAAAACAACACTAACGAAAAAGATAAATAAATTGTGTGTTTTTTTCACATGCTGCTGGGACCCAATTATGAGGGGGTGGATTTGTATATTTTGAGGGGATGATTAATGATTGCTTCAAATATGCCAGATTAGAAATTTGCCCAGAGGCACACGTACCACCCTCCCCTCCCCTCCCCTGATTCAATGATGAAATGTTGTTTAACTTGCATGATGGACTTTCAATAAACGATCATAATAAGTAAAGTGGTTAACGACCGATGATACTAATCCCATGATTGGACTGCTTATCTAATCATCACAGTGCTAAAAACCCTCCCCGACTAATCATACTATAGGAGGGGTCTGATCATGGACCTCGTAGTATCTCCATGGTCTGATGGAACCATACCCCACACAGTGGGCCATACACCACCCACCCAGCACCCATAGACTACCGCAAAGGAAGAGCAAATAAACCCCTGCTCATAAACAAGATTGTAGACACTTTCCATTGTTGGACTGGGGATCAACATCCGAGTTATCTAGAAATCCATTGTTTTGCCCTCTATTTGCTCTGCCTGTTTTGGTTCTGTTTCGCTCATTTTCAGTTTCGTTTTTGGTGGCTTGTTGCGTGTTTGTAAGTCATTACTTGGTTTGTCCATATAAGTCCATGGTTTGTCATTATCATCATCATTTTACTTCTCCAGGTCCACGCAAAAGATCAACCAACTACGCCCAGCACCCCCTCTTTTACTTTATCTCTTTCTCTCTCTCTCTCTCCCCCCCCCCCCACCCCTCTCTCTCTCTCTCTCTCTCTCTCTCTCACTCTCTCTCTCTCTCTCTCTCTCTCTCTCTCTTTCTCTCCCTCTCTCTCTCTCTCTCTCTCTTTCTCTCCAATCTTTCTCGTACTCTATTTCAAGTTCAAGTTCAAGTTTATTTATTTCCACTTAATCGAAGATAATATAATTGAACATAATGTATATTGGTTATAATTATAACTAAACAAACAGTATAGAAACAAAATGTTTATGGTAATGGTTATGACAAAAGATAGAAGCATAAGTATGATAAATACCTTGAAAAAAACAAAATGAAGTAGGGGATCTACTAAAAAGCAAAGATTGTTTTATGTAGGTCCCAGTTAAAAGGTTTGTATATAAATTAGGATAGCTAAATTATACACAAGATATTTACAAAAGCATATGATTTATATACGAGGGTTATCTTTAAGTGACGTATTTCACCAAACATAGCCTAAACAATTGAGAAAAAAGGGAAAAGTTCTGTGCTTTCCTAGCATAACCAAGTGTTTATATCAAGTAAAAGGAACGGTGCTTATTTCATCTATCTGCGACTCATTTACTCTATTTTAATCTCCCTCCTTCACCCTCTCTCTCTCTCTCTCTCATCCGAAATGGATGAGAGAGAGAGAGAAAGGGAGAGAGAAAGTATATATCTCTCTCCATCTCTCTTTCTCCCCCCCCCTTTCCTCTCACTCTCCAAGTGTCTATCTACTTACCTATCTTTTATGTCGGGTTTTATGTATTTCTTTTACTCTTTCTCTCCCTAATATTTAATTTCTCTTACTTTTGATGTCTCACTGACTCTTATCTAGA